TCTTTCCTTGGGGAAGGTTTGCAGCGTCTACACTACACGTGCATCTCCACCCTACAAAAGCGAGGTCGGAGAGTTTAAAAGCCGGGGAGCTGACCCCTTGTGGAGCACGTGGCTCCTTGGCAGGCAGCACCCCTAGGCCGCGGCTGGGTCCCGAGGACAGGCCTGGCTTCCTGTCCTCCTCCTGCTGCAGCACTGGCCCTCGACCCGGGGCCACCTCGGCCTGGACCTCCGGCCACTGTCCGTCGTCTGGGGACCCCGTCCCACATCTCTGAGCCCCGCCTCTGCACACCGGCAGTGACGTGGCCTTCCTACTCCCCTGAGCCAAGTCAGGGGACGTGCACTATCGGCGCAGCACCCGTGACGGGAGTCGGCCTCTGCTGTGTTGTGACTGCTGTCCTCTGCGCCCACCTGGCTGTCATACGGGATTCGGCGCCACCACCCGCTCAGAGGCCTGTGGGCTCCCACAGCGGTGCTTTATCTGTCTCCCGTGGCATTTATCACTTTCTGCTTCGTGTTGTAATGGTTCGCGCACCCATCTCATCTCCGCTTCGGCTGCTCTGTTGAGCTGCAGCTTCAGAGATGGAGAGAAACTGAAATTCGTCTTGGATAGGAAAATCTTTGGGTGCTATTTCCAACATTCTAACCTGGCTGAGGAAGAAACTCCTGGTTCCCAGGCCCCCCTCATCCTCTCCCTACTTGGAATCCCACAACTAGATCTCCAGGACCCTCCCGTCTTGGCTTGGGGGCCTGGGGGTCACTGGCCCTCCCTCCCTCCCTGGGGCGGCATGCCTGAGCCAGGGCAGGGACACAGTCCCAAAGCCCAGACGCAGCCCTGCCCCCTCCCCAGTCTGGAGGCCAATCCCCCCTCGGGTGGCCCCTCGGCTCGCCCTTCATCTCCAAACCCCAGTATTATCTTTTTCTCTTGCAAAATACTTCCCGCCCCTTTAGAATGAGCCCAAGTGCAACCTGTCACCAAGTCCTCCGCAGCCCCTGACAAGGCCCGGGGAGGTGGGGCACAATGTCCCTCTAACCACAGAGCCTCGGCTCTTTCCAGAAGGGGTATTTTTGGACCCACTCAGTGTCATCACTTCGGACTAAATACACTGATGACCAGAACTGATCGATTAAAAGGTCCAATGGCAAGGAAAACATCTAAGCAGATTTTGACTCTACTTTTCACTTTTCAACTGAACGAGTGCCAGCCCATTGGGCTGGCCGGGGGTCATTTCTCTCCACGTTCCAAAACACAGCTTTCTCCCACCAAATTTACTGTCACCCGCAGAGGAACTTTTCTGATACTCAATAGGACGTTCTGCTTCAGAATGTCTGCCAACCTGTGGCAGGTGTTCGATGCCTCCGTCTGACGCGTTAGAGTTGAATCCCAGCTTCCGTAGAGGAAGCCGCAGGCAGTGTAAGTCCTAACGAGAGGAAACGAGGAGACATCAGGTGACTTCCACGAAGGGGAGGCCTGGGCTTGGCTGGGAGATGGGGTCCAACCGCCCAGCACCACCAGTAGACCAGGAGCTGTGCTCAGTTCGCCTCTCGGAGACGGGAGCCCGAGGGCCCAGGGACCCCATGTGCTGGGCCCAGCGGCCCTGGTTCAGCCATTAACCTCCGAAGGTGAGTGTCCTCTGCATCGTCAGGCATTTAACTCAGAAAAGTGGGCGAGAGGAAGCGCGGGTGTCGCGGGCCCGTTTCAGTTGCTTTCTTCTGTTTTCTCCTTTCTAAGTCATGGCCAGAGGCCCAACCCCATGGGGACTGAGTGACGCCACACTGTTCCTGTCCAGCGCACAGACGCCTGATGCAAATACAACACGGCGAGCCCCGATGGCCCCAGGAATGGCAGCCAGCCCAGCCCCAACCCTCGAGTGGGTAGCGGAGCGTCCAGCCACTTTATATGGAGCCTGGCAAGGCCTAGACGTGACCAGCTCATGCTCGGGAGTCACGGCCACCAGAAGCCCCACCCTGCTCGCTGGCCGCCGGGCCATGAGAGGAGGAGCAGGTGGTAAAACTCGGTTCTTGTTTTCTGAGCGGACAGGCGGCCTTTGGGCCGAAGGGCAGACACGGGCAGCGTCTCTGAGCCGGCGCTGACCAGCGTCTGTGGGCTCCCGAGACCCTGCTCAGCCGTGCGGCTGGGTAACAGGCGGGTGCGCCCCGTCGCCAAAACTGGAGGCTCCGAAGCGGCGAGGAGAACCTGAGGTGGAAACGAAGGTGCGGGATGTTGGGAGGGTTGATTCCAAGTCTGCTCTGTCCTAACAGCTGTAACTCTGAGGTCGCTTTACGAGCAGTGAACACCGTTAGAAAATCAGATGCATTTAGGAACTTTATTGACTGCTTTTATGAAGACTGAAGTCCTACCGTTACTCATTTTTCTGCAGAGGTGTATTATGGGAGGGAGGTTTATTTTATTCCCAGGACTATTCCAAGTAATTTTACACAAAATAAAATAGATTGTCACTGAGCCATTCTGGGGCCCAGAGCTGCCACACTTGCCGATTTGTTCTCATATAACCAGGACCTGGGAGCCTGCCCTGCACTCGGCCGGGGCGAGCAGACTCCTTGGTTCAGGAAGCAATCAGAAACTTCTAGAGCCCAGACGCAGGCTGGTGAGAATTGTCACCGTGGGAGAGACCAGGAAGAGTCAGCTGACAGTGACTCTTACTGCATGTTGTCAAAAGGACACCCCGCTGGCCTCCCCTTGACCTCTGCATCCCCACTCTGTTTCAGCATGCGGGCGTGGGCCGTCCTGGGCGTCACTCTGCTTGTGGCCTGCAGCCAAGTCGTCATCTTCCTGCGAGGCAAGGACCACCTCTGGGGTGAGTGATGAGTGGAATGTGCATGGCCTTTCCACCTTATGAGCTGTCTCCGGGCTTGGACCGAGAGCGGGCAGGTGGGACCTGCAGGCGTCCTGCTGTCCCACAAGGAGCACAGGTGTGTGGATTTTTTAAAGGATTAAAATGTGATTTCTGAAAAAGCAAAACAAAACAGTTTCCAATGGTTACACCATAGGAAACTTTCATTTTTAGCTGCTTACATATTTGGGGAAAAAATATTGCTTTGTGAGCAGCTGCTTTGCCACAAAATCATTTTCATTAAATAACTTCTATGATGTATCTTCTGGAATCAGGGAGGTACAGTGCTAAACTTGGTTTGAAAGTTTGGGAGATGCAGTGGTTAGAATAATCACATCTATTTTTGTTTGGCTTAAAAAGAAAAGGAAAACTCTCCAAACCCCAGAATGGGCTGTACCCAGCAGAGTGCGGGAGGGCGTTTGGTGGATACTGCAGCTTCCAGCCTTGGGGACAGTCACACCTCCCTGGGTGGCGCATGTCCCCATGCCCCACAGCCTGTCCGGCAGGCTCACTGGACAGTGTGAGCCTCTCCCCGGGAGTCACGAGCCTCGCCCACCAACCCCAGGCATGGCCAGCGCTCCGAGTCCTTGCAACCGCGTCCCTACCCTGCTGAGCTGTGCCTCCTGCAGGGAGACACCGGTACCAGTTTCACTCAGCACCAGGGCTGCGTGATCTTGAGACAGTGCCCCGCAGAAGTCCAAAGCTCTCAGTGTCCACATCGTCTGTGAGTCAGGAGAGGGAGGTGAGCGGACAACGTGGGTGGGCTCTGGCCCCCCCAGTTATAACCGGGGCCCTCCGTGTCCCCCTGTCCTCCTGTGTGAACAGGGAAACTCTGCCACCCTCTCCCTGTGAGCGCTGAGTGCGTCGTGCGGGCCAGTGCCGGGACTGGACACAGACTGCGGGTTAAAGTATCTCGGGGAGCATGGTTCTGGGCCCCCCGCCAGTCAGCCCGGTATTGGGCATGTGGCAGACATTCAGCAGGTGTTCTGTGAGCTGATCGATTGTCCTTATGCTGCCTTTCAGCAAGCTCCTGGTTCGCGACCCATGGTCGCAAAAGCCAAAAGTCTGCAGCTGGTTGTGACAACCGCTGAGCAGGACAGCTGGCCAATGGGATGTAAAAATGTCTGTGCGCGCCTTTCAGTTTTAGAAATCACCTTTAAAAAGAAATCAGGAAATGTGGTGTTTATAGCTTCGCTAAAGTAATTTTTTAACTTATTTCTGCATCTCTGAGAGGTGTAATTTTCTTTTTAGCTTAAACATCCAGTAAATATATAAATAATGCACAGTAAAAATGCTGCTCTTTGGAGACTATTACTGTTGATTAGGATATTTTGAAGCTGACTTACTACTTGTTTACTTTGTAAATTACTCATATAGAAAATATTATTGAAGGTTTTAATTTTACATTGACATAAGAGTTTTTTTTTCCAGTTGATAATAAGCCAACAAAAGTTTTGAAACAAAATAACTACTCGCTGTGAACTTTCTTTGAAACGTAATTTTTATCAGTCACATTTCACCACAGCTAGAACGTAACTGACGCTGCCGATCGATGTGTGTGTTTGGGTTTGTATCGCTGGCACTCACAGACGGACACAAACTGGGGGACGGCGCCCTCCCCACGTCCAGAACCAGCTCCCAGGGCAGCCGGGCGCTGGGCTCGAGAACCGGGGTCTGTGCTGGACACAGGTGGCCGTCTGCTGGTGGCGGTCTCCTGGGTGCCGCTCAGCCCAGCGTGGTCCGATCCTTCGGCCCCCCCTCAGAAAACAGAGTCCCCAGGGGTCACAGGGGCGGCAGGGCTATGGCCAGACTCACCATGACTGCCCAGCTCTTCGCACAGGGACAACACACAGCTCTGTCAGTCCCGGACACACACCTTAGGTCTCACAGGCCGTGTGTGACCCGCAGGGACGCTGGAGCCTGAGAGCGAGACCCCGCCAGCTGGTCTTCTGTGCGGCAGGGACTTGGCTCCCAAACAGGAGGGGCCCGGGGCGGCGGAGGAAGCTTCGCACCCATGGTTCTGTAACAGAAATGATTTGATGGGAAGATCGTGTTTTTGCTCAAAAATACACTCGTAACGATTGTGCGTCTCGAAAAGGTTGGCATAAGCCCCGCCTCAAAAACCCTGACACGAGTGTGTCATGGCAACCACGCGTCCGTCCCCACACAGATGGGGGCATTTCTAGCATTTGTGCGAAGCCAGGATTCGAGTGTGGCCGCCTCTGCGGGACGCGCTTCACGGCCGCGGCCGCTCGGGGAGAGCGACAGGCCAGCGGGCGGCGGGAAGCAGGTGGGGCCGTGGGAGCCAGCCGCATGGGTGGGTCTCAACAAACAGAGGTTGTCACGGGGGTGACCAGGTCCCCAGGGCAGTCGGGCTACAACTGGAGCCAGCGCAGTGTGTGGCTGTGGAGAAGGGCCCCGCTCTAAGTGTAGGGGACTTCCTGTGAGCACCGGGGTGGAGGCAGAGGGCAGACTGGGCTACAGGAACGACAGGTACTGAGACGGATGTGCGGGATGTTTGTGGTCCCCCAGGGACAGATGCAGAAGGTGCCTGAGGCCAACGCCTGCCAGCCCTCCAGGGGCCCATGACGGGGTCTCCACCCTGGGTCGGCGTGGGTGAGTACTGGGCATCCGACGTCCGCACCCTCTGGAGACTTGCACCTCAGAGTCCCTCAAACCTTCTAACAGGTTCTGGTCACTTCAGGATAGAGGCTGTTAACGTCACTTAATTCTGTTGAACTCAGTAACAATATATTTTCTGGACTGTGCTCTGTCTACTTCATTCTAAAGCTTTTGAAAAGTACCTTTTAAAACCAGTTTTACCAGATAGTGTTTCAAAATATTCCGATACCCTATTTATCTTTAGAAAGAAATATATCTTTTCAGATAAAACATCAATCGTGCAGCAGATAACTTAGTAACAGAGCGCCCTGTGCGCGTCACCAGGAGAACTTGCCTCCGTTATGGCACTCGTTGGGACCTCACATTTTAACCCGGAAACGCAATCATGGTTTAGTCCGTTCGGGCTGCATTAACGGAACACCCGAGCCCGAGGACTTAGAAACAGCAGACATTATTTCTCTCGGTTTGGAGGCCAGCAGCTTCGGAGTCTGGTGAGGGCCCTTCCTGGTCCACAGATGTCTCAGAGGGGACGAGGCTCCCCAGGGTCCCTATGTGAGGGACCAGACTTGTGGCCCAGTCACTTCTCAGGGGCACCAGCTCCTACACCGTTAGGACGCTAGAATTTCAACCTGTGAATCTTGGCAGAAAAAACGTCAGCCTGTGTTCCAGACATGCAGCTAAGAGCCATCCGGGCCCTCAGAGGTATTCTGGGCAGAAAGAAGAGAGGCGAAGCCCGGCTGGGCCCCACGGACCCACCCACCCCAGCTGGGCTCCATGCCCAGAGCCGGCGTGAAGAGAATTGCAGGATGTCCATCGTGTGCTGAGTGGGACATTTATTCCACAGGGATGTCTGAAGAGTCTCACATTCTCGGTGTTTTGGAGGACAGCAAGCTCCTGGTGGATGCCGCCATCCACAGCACGATGAAAAGGTGCCGCGTAGGGGGGCCCTGGGGCAGGGGGGTGCACCCACCACCCAGCGTGGGCCAGGCGCTGTGCCAGAGCCCTCCCCGCTCACCTACCTTAACGCCCACAGTTATCTCCGAAATTGGTCTTGGCATCTCCGTTTCACAAATCAGGCGGAAGCACCTTCATTTTCAAATTTAGCTGGCACAACATTAAGAATATTACTGTATCATATTAGATGTTTGTAAAGCAAACAAACACGAAACGGAGGAGCCAGTTTTCTCACAAGCTCATTATTTTGTTGGAAGTGAACTAGTAATTACATAAGCTCTCAGGACACCAAATATCACAAGGCAGTCGTTGCTTTGTTACAAATTTCTATTATTCCAGCCAGAAAAATTCTTTTTTGCCAATACTGGCTGCAAATTCATTTTTACTTATTTTCTAAAAAATTGAATCAGAGAAAAGAGTTTCTCGTGTGCTCATCCGTGTCGTGTGTGTGGAGACACAAGGCGTGGCAGATGTGCCACTGGTCACCTCGCCCTCGAAATCTGCACCTCTGCACCTGTTGGTGCAGGGCCGCACGCCCCCCGACCCCCCATGTCGTGGGCTGAAACCCAGCTGTCTGAGTGGATTTTTCTGCGAAGGTTTATCGTGTACAGTCGTTACGGAGATCGAATGGTTTAGGCTGAATGTTCATACGGGGCACATTCTGGCCGTTCTGTCTGTCTCTCAGCACCGGTCACCTGCTGGTGCCCGTTCTCCATCTCCTCGGGGCACCCTCACATGCCCCCGGGGTCCTGGAGGCTGCCCAGTAAACGTCTGCTTAATTGATGAGTAACGAGTTACCAAAACAACCATACGTAACGGAACGACAGCCTTTATGTCTCCTCCTCATGCCGTAGAAACCTCAAGAAGAGAGAGGTCCTCTCTCCATCCCAGCTTCTGTCTTTCTCCAAATTCCCTGAGCCGACGAGCCGAGCAGTTTCCCGCGCAGCGGAGATAATGGAGGCCGCGGTGCGGGCGGTGAGGAGTGGAGCCCACCTGGGCCCGCAGCGGTCACCACCTCTAACAGGTGAGTGCACCTGCGGGAGCACGGCCGGGGTGGAGCAGCTGACCCCCCTCGGGGCCGGGCCCGGAGCCACCTCCATCGCCGTGAAGGCACAAGTCCTGTCCACCCAGGATGAAAGTGACCGCTCTTAAAATGCCAATAATACACTCCAGAGTTTTATTTTTGTTAGTCTGAGAATCAACTGTTTCTCTGCTATTCAAATTGAATTTGGGCAACTAGCTCAAGAATGTGTTCAATAAGGAGAGAGAGAACTGGCAAAAATTAAGAGTTTTTTGGGCTTCGAATCTGGACGCATCCACAAAAAGGAAATGAAAACCCCAAAGGAGAGAAGCTTCTGGAGACGGGCTCTCACACACCCTGAGCCACCGGACTGGGCTGGGGGAGGGGCGAGCGCTGTCCTGGGAAGGTGGGTGTTGTGGCTGGGTGCACCGCCTCAGCTGTGCCACGCGACGGGTAACGCTGAGACCACCTGGGCCTGACTTACCTGGGGCTCAGCTCCAGAAGCTGCTTTTCTGAGAGATCAGGAAGCAAAATGTTGAAAACCCGTATTTCTAGCAAGGAAGCTTGAGGGGGTTGAGAGTGTCTGTTTAGAGAAGGAGCGGCCTCCCGCACAGTGATGCAGGTCGCGAATGGGTCCCAGGCTCAGAAGCCAGGGCCCTCGCTGAGACTGCGTTAGAAAATGCCTTTCACCAGGTCGGAGTGTCGTCACAGACAGCGTCAGGCCTGGTGTCTCCTGCAGACGCGGTGTCGGAAGCCCTCCTGACCACCATCGCACAGGTGTCCGGGTGCCTGCCACACATGCTGCCCCCGCAGTGTCCAGACACCTGCCTGGCCAGCAAGTACCGGCTCATCACAGGGGCGTGCAACAACAGGTACCGTCCTTAGCGCCTCCTCATCTCCCCACGTGAGTCAATGTGAACGTGACCAGGTGCCACCAGGAGGGGGCGCTGGACCGTCTGTGAGCCACCCCCATTCTTCCTCCCTGTGACTCCTTCTCGTCACTCACCCAACTACACGTGCCCCTGGACGCTGGCCTGGCCTGGCACTGCAGGCCGGCCATGTGGCCTTGTGAGTGATCAGGGCTGCACCGACCGCGCGCTCCACAGCGGGGGATGGGGAAGTCACAGACTGCGCAACTCAACGTGGTGACAGTGACGTAAAGACGAGTCTCAGAGTGACGTGATGGACGGAGATTGGGCTGGACCTCCGAGGCTGGGTGTCCTGGGAAGGCCCCCCAGCTGTGCATTGGTACTGAGGCCAGGTCTACACAAGGGGGCCAGTCTGGGGCGGTGGGCTCCATCACGGTGAGGACGGCCGCCTGGGAGAGGCCGAGACTCAAATCTGAGTGGAGCCCAGAACGCCCAGGTGCTGAACGGGGCAGACACAACCAGAGGTGCAGAGGGACAGGTCGAGCCAGACATGGGGAGGGCTCAGGAGGAACGGCGGCCATTCACTCACTCACGCACTGTTCACCCATGCACAGATTTGTTCAAAACCTTTGAATGCCCTTATGTGCCAGGTTCTCTGACACATGCCAGGAGTGTGATAATCTCTGCTCTCAGGAGCTGACAAATGGGGGACCATGGGCCCCTGATCAGCTGGGAGTGCCTGGGCTTACACCTATGGGTCCAGCATAATTATTAATAGTTCTGCCTTTTTTTTTTAAATTACAGAATGTTTCCTAATTCGGAGAACAGTATATGATTACTCTACTCATGGCCTAATAAAAAACGCAGAAAGGATGTCAGAATGAAACAAGCCAGCGATGGCCGCGTGGTGTGGTCAGGGGTGGGGACGCACACGGGTTCCTGGAAGGCAGAGGCATTGGGTCTGGTCTGGGCTTCAGGGAAGCTTTGCTAGGGACGGGGACATGTGAGTGACAGACCCTGGACGAGCCGGGACTTCCCGAGTGGCTGGCGGAGGAGGGACAGTGTCTGCAGAGGGCAGCAGTGCCTGGAGCGGACACATGAGCATGAAGCACAGGGGCCGCCCACGGGAGGCTGCAGTGGGGCCGAAACGCAGGTGCAGCTCCAAGGGTGACGGCTGGGTGGGCGGGCACCTGTGGGTTGTGACGTGCGACAATCTAGCCCACGGGAAGTGTGACTTTCAGGGACCGTGTCATGTTCCTAAGTGTTATTTGGATGTCGGTTAAGATTAAGATGAATGTTATTTGGAATTTAACTTAAAATTCTAAATTTCTAAATGGTGTGTTTGTAAAACTCACTGCTGTCATTTTATTGCACGGTGGTGTGATGGGTGTGGGTTACAAACGTAGGACGTGCACCTAAAGTTTGTCTCCCTTTGCTGAGACTGTCTTCATTGCCTGAGATGCCTCACAGAGAACTTGACTGATGGTGGGAACGATGGATGTTTCACGGTCTCAGTTGGACCTGTGTTTGTGACATGACCACCGCCACAAGCGAGCGCCTGGCGTGGAAGCCCGCTGAATTTGTCATTTAAATCAGGCTCCGCCTCACCCTGGCCTCCTGGTTCCCGCGTAAGCCCATGTGTCCACGTGCGTGCTCGCGCTTGCTGCGTTTGCCCTTGAAAAACCCAGACCGCCAGTTCCAAAGTTTGTGGTGTTGGAAGCGCACGGGGGCGTGTGCTAGCTGTGGCAGGGACGGCCGCGAGGGCCACTCAGGCGCCGTGGGCTTCTGTTTGCACAGCCGTGAGGCAGAGATGGCGTGTCCCCGCAGGCTGCTGGTTTCTGAGGGGACACTGCTGCAGCTCGTCACGCACCACGTGCGGCCCCAGCGTGGGCAGCGTAATGGTGAGCACTGTCATAAAGTGGCCGCACAGCCTCTGGGCCTCACTTGGCCTGAGGCTGCAGGCACAGAGCACCATACATATAAAGCCAGAAGACCCCCCTCCCCACCTGGGGGAGGGCGCCCACAGTTAAATCCCTGTGGCTTAGTTCCTGGGGGTGATGGCTCCTCCGAGTCGCAGTGGCACATGCCACACTCGGGCCCATCAGCGAGCTAGCGCCGAGGTCTGGCACCCGGGCCCTCACTGTCCACTCAGCCCCTCGTCAGATGGCTACAGGTTACAGAGGACACTTCCGCCCACACAGACACAGCCTGTTCCCAGGCCCGCCAGGTGCCATTCCACACGACATGCAGCCTTGCAGGCGGTCGGCCGTGCTCCCAGCAAGGGCCCAACGCCAGTTCCCGTTACGGGACAGCTCTGCACCGAGCCTCTTTTCCTGGGGAAAAGTTCCTGTCCTAC